AGAAATAAAAAACAATAAACAGCCCTGGCCGGTTTGGCTCAGTGGTTAGAGCATCGGCCTGCGGTCCAGAGAGACCCGGGTTCGGTTCCCAATAAGGGCACTGATCCCAGTTGCAGTTTGTCCCCGGCCCTGGTTGCAGCCACTTGATGTGTACCTTTCACATCTAGGTTTCTCTCTCTCTTCCTCTCTCTCCCTTCCACTCTATCTGAACAAAAAAATGAAAAAATGTCCTCGGGTGAGGATAAAAAAAAAAACAAAAAAAAAACAGATGGAATTGATGAAAATAATAAAAATGCTATATTTGAACCCAATTATATTCATAATTAAATAAAATATATATGGACTAAACTATTCAATGAAGTCTAGCTCAAGATCACAGAGCCATTAAATGATAAATCTATAGATCCAGTTTTGATTGTTGGATTGAATTTTCAGAAGGAGCCAACCATATGCTAATAGAAGAACCACTCTGAATGTAAGAACATAAATAGGTAAATGTAAATAATGAGAAAATGCAGAGTATACAAACACTAAACAAAAGAAAGCTGGAGAATTAGTATCTGACAAGGGACACTTTAATAAAAGACAATTACTAGAAATAAATAGGGATACTTCATAATGAAAAAAGAGATTAAAAACAGAAAGTTATAATAATCCTAAATTTATAGGTGCATAGAAATATAGCTTCAATATAGAGAAAAAATGACAGAACTAAAATGTGAAATAGACAAATCCACAATCATATTTGAATATTTTAATATTCATCATTCAGTAATTTTAAAAGGCAAAATTGTTAGTGAGAATGCAGAAGATATGACAAGATTAATCACCTGACCTATGATGCCCTTACTACGTGAAAAGGACACATTGTTTCATGTGCATATACTATAGTTACCATTCTCAACCATATGCTAGGCTTTAAAAGTGAGTCTTAACATATTTCAAATGATTGGATTTATACAGAGCTTGACCATAATTGGATTAATCTGAGAATCATTTACAGGAAAGTAATTTTTAAAATTGCCATATATTGGAAACTTAAACGACATACTTATAAATAAACCTATAAGTAAACTAAAAATTATAAAATATTTCAAATTGATGATGACAAAAGCTACCTATCAAAACCTGTGAAGTGCTACTCGCTGCAGCTGCCCTTAGATGGAGGTTTATAACTTTAAGTGAATGTATTAGAAAAGAATAAAGATATAAAATCAATTCTCTCTTATTTAAGCATATATCTTTCTTTTTTTACTATTGATTTTGTTAAAGAGAGAGGAAGGAAAAGGAAAAGAGAGAGAAATATCGATGTGAGAATGAAACCTTGATCAGCTGCCTCCTGCATGCCCCCTATCGGGGATTGAGGCCGCAACTGGTGCATGTGCCCTAAACCTCCTTCGGTGCAGGGGTGGGAGGTGTCAATTCAAAAGAACAGTAAATTAAATCCCAAAAAACTGTGTCAACAGGAAATAATAGATATGAACAAATATAAATGAATTTGATCATAGGTTAAACTCTGGCCATTGTGGCTCCATGGTTAGAGCATCGGCCTGAGCATACCTGGATTGTGGGTTTGATCCACAGCCCTGGTCGGGGAACGTGAGGGTGCAACCAATCGATGTGTCTCTCTCACATCGATGTTTCTCTCTCTCTCCCTCCCTCCCTCCATCCCACTCTCTATAAGAATCAATGGAAGAAATATCCTTGGATGAGAATTAACAACCAATAATAATAAAAAAAAAAGTTTAATAAAATTAACAGACCCCTAGGAACCTTAGTAAGAAAAACAGGGAGAAAATACAAATAATCATGAAAATACAATGGAGACATTTTTTGCAGATCCTACTTACATTCAAAATAAATGAGAAGATATTGGGAACAATTTTATGGCAATACATTTACTAAATTAGATGAAATGGACAAATTCATTGAAAAAGCACACTTTAAGAAAACTGCGTGAAAGACATAGAAGACATGAATAGATCTAGATCTTAAGGAAATAAAATCTGAAATTAAAAACCTTTCCAGAAAGAAAAATACCACTCGAAGGTGACTTCACTGATTAATTTCTCTAACATTAAAGCATAATTTTACACAAATCATTTCAGTGAATAGGAAACATGAGAACTCCAGCTCTTTTTATGAAGCTACCATAGCACTGACACCAAAACCTAAGATATTTCAAGGGGAAAAAATAGTCAAGATAGCTCATGAACATAGTTGCATTTTCTCATCAAACTTAGCCAATCAAGCATTTTCTCAACAAACTTATCCAATCAATTCCTGCAATATATACAGAAGATAAAATGTGATCAGGTACACTTCATTCTGTAAAAGCAGGGTTGGTTTAATTTTCAAAAACTTATAAGTGTTATTTGCCATATAAATAACCATATGATCTCATCTAAAAATATACCTAGAAACATGACTAAGTGGATTAGGACTTAGCCTTGTAGCACTTGACACTCTACTAAACACTTTAAAGGTATTAACTTATTTAATTGTCTCAACCATTCTTATGTAATAGGGATCGTTATTTTCTCCCAGTTGCAAATGAATGGCTTGACACAGAGACATTAAGTAACATGTTCAGTGTCACATTGCCATTAAATGATAGAACTGTGAATCCAGTTTAGATAGGCCTGACTGGAGAACTCATACTCTGAAACTCTTCATTGTATTGTCTAGGCAATCATGAAGAAGAACAAAGCTGGAGAGCATATACTACCACATATCGGTTCCTATTATAAAGCTAATTGAGATAGTGTAGTATTTGGCACAAGCATCAATAACTAAACCAGTAGAATAGTATAGAAAACCCAGAAATAGACCCACACATACACAGTCACCCAATTTATAAAAAAGGTGCTGCTCTAATTCAATGTGTGTGGAAGAAGAATTGTCTTTTCAACAATAGTACAGTATCAGGTAGATATCTAAAAGGAATAAGCAGAAGGTTTAGCAATAAAGCTACTAAAAAAATATGAAAATATCTTTAAAATTTTGGACTAGGCACCCTGGCTGGTTTGGCTCAGGGGTTAGAGTGTCGGCCTGTGGACCAGATAGTTCCGGGTTCAATTCCCGCTAAGGGCACATACCTTGGTTGCAGTTTGTCACCAGCCCCAGTTGGGGTCGTGTGGGTGGCAACCACTCAATGTGATGTTTTTCTCTCACATCGATGTCTCTCTCTCTCTCTCTCTCTCTCTCTCTCTCCCTCCCTCCCTCCCATTCTATCTGAAGATAACTGCAAAAAAAAAAAAAAAAGTCCTCAGGTGAGGATAAAAAAATAAATAAATAAAAATAAATAAAATAAAATTTTGGACTAGGCAAAGATTTCTTAAACAGGACATGAAAAGTACTAAATATGGAGGAAAATATTGATACACTGGACTTTGATAATATTAAGAACGCTGTTCATCAAAAATCAATACTGGGAACAAATCACAAACTTGAAAAATATTTGTGATACATATAAACTAAAGGGATTTATATTCAAAATATTAAAATAACTCTTACAAATGAATAACAAAGATATTGGCTACTTAATTTGAACAAAATACAAAGACTCAAACAGCTACTTTACAAAGGAAAAGATCCAAGTAGCCAATAAGCCTATGAAAAAGTGTTCAACATTATTATATGTCATGGAAACAGAGTAAAGCCATTGTGAAATATCACTTTACACCCACAGGAATGGCCAACATTAAAAGGATTAAAAATATCAGCTCTTTACAATTAGGTAGAGCAACTAGAACTAACACACATTGCTGATGGGAGTGTAAATTCATTTGATCACTTTGGAAATCTGGCAGGATCTACTGAAGCTAAACACATACTTACCCCATGACCCATCAACTCTACTCCTGGATAGATAGCCAAGAGAAAGTAGTGCATATGTCTACCTAAAGACAAGTACAGACATTTTCATGAGATTTTTTTCTTAATGGTCAAAAACTGGAAGCAGTCCAATGGTCTATCAGCAATAGAATAGATAAACTGAGGTATATTCATACAGTGGAACTCTACATGGCAGTGAAGATGAAAAATATCTATTGCTACATTGTAACAACATGAATGGATTTCACAGACTTAATTAGTAATACTAAAAGCAAAACATAAGACAGCACGCATGTACGTATGCATGTATGATTCCATCTGTGTAAAGTACATAAATAGATAAAATTAATGTATGATACTAGAAGTCAGAATAGCATTTACCTTGTGAATATATCAACTAGGAGAAGTTATGAAGGGGCTTCTAGGATTCTGAAAATATCCTGACTCTTGATCTAAAATTCATTTATTAGTTAACTTGATATTTATGTTTTTTACAGAGTTTAGTGTCTCATTAAAAATAAAATAAAATATTGTCCCAAAAGAAAGCAACAAAATAGATCCTCTTAATACCTGAGGCTGGCCAGAAAGGTATGAAATTAGGCTGGGGGATGTCATTAGTAAAGCCTTCTACCCCAAGAAGAAAGAAAGACTCAACAGGACACAGGTGTTTATAGTAAGTGAAAAAATAAGGCCATTTTATTTTTATATCTTAGCAAGTTAACACCACTCAAACAAAAGTGCATAGCCTAATTAAAAATTATATTATATAAATTATGTTAATATTACATAGATTATATGAATAGTGTAAATAACTAATATAAAATGCATAATATAGGGTCTGTTTAGAGTAAATATTAAAAAAAATATATTATCAATACTTTTATTGCCGCTGCTTATTATTACTGTTACAACTTTGTTGTTGTTAGTGATTATTATTGCGATTGGGTCTGAATGAGAAATTCTCACTGCTCCTCTGTTAGTTTCTTCTCACTTCTCACTTCCACATGCTGTCCTTCAGTCCATTCTTCTCATTTTCTCTGATTCCCCACATGGGGCCAGATCAGTACTGAGTATGGGAAAATTGGTATAGATCGGTCTTTTCAACGTGTACCGTGGGCCTGAGATGAGGTTAAGGGACAGCATGGCCTGAGGGACATGCTCCCTCAGAAAGGGAACTCACAAGCTGCCAAAAGCTTGGCTTCTGCGTTGATATCATTCCATTTGCCATTATCCAGGATCATCGCATAGTGCTCCCCAGAATTAGCGTTGTTGGGCTCATTATCATTCCAATTTTGGTAGGTCACATTCATTCCTTTCTGATCCACAAAATGACCTTCTTCCTTTTCATCTGTGATGCCCAGGTAGGCGTTTCCTTTGGTTAGACTCAGGAGGGCCTCGTTCTCTTCAGCATTCCTGGGGGTGGCCACGGTGACCTCGAACCGGGAGCACAGAGCCTTCACTTGTTCAAAGGTCATATTTTCACTATTGGTCAAGAAGAGTTTCGTTCCAACTCGTTTGCCTATACTGAAGGCCAGCACTAAAACAGGAAAAAGTGGGTGACACTGGCTTGTCCTTCAGCCCAGCCCAAGGCATTTTTCTGGATAAAGGGTTCTAGAGGAGAAATGCCACATGAAATACAGTGTGGCCAGTTACATTTGAATTTCAGGTGAACAATGAATTTTTTTTTTTATTATAAGTATCTCTTGTGCAATTTGGGGGATATACTTATACTGAAAAAGATTAGTTACTGTTAACCTGAAATTCAAATTTAACTAAGTGTCCTATTCCTTTATTTGTGAATTCTGGCAATCCTAATCTGCAGACAGACTGGAACAAAAGCCTTTGTCCTGAGGATAAGAGTTCTAGAACATATGTAATTGGTGATTCTGAATTTTAGCGCAATATTAACTTGAGGTTAAAGAAAAATGTCCGACAATATTTGCCTCTGGCTAGCAGGGCACAGAAGGAACAGGTTAGGCCCCGTCGTCAGGTCTCAGCACCAGCATAACAAAAGAAAAGAGACACAGGTGCCATTTTCAGTGACACACACAGACACTGAGTGTAAAGAGTACAGGATCGAGGTCTCTGGAATCAGACTCACTTCAATTTATCAACTACCTCTGCCACTTACTAGCTCTGTGCATTTGAGCAAGTATTCCGATTTCTCTTTGCCTCCATTTCTATTGAAAGGTTGGAGGAAGTTCATGAGATCAGAATATGAGAAACACCCATCCAGGTACTAGAAAATGATCAGTATATAATGAGTATTTATTACCTCCCACCTTCCTAGCCTGCAAGCTGCCTGAAACACAGGTGAGAAGGCTTACCGTTTTTGATATGGTTCAATTCCGATCGCAGAGCTGCTATTTCTGAAATAGCCTGGCCATCATCACAATCTAGAAAATTTAAACAACGTGAAAGAACACTGTGAGAAGAGATTTCAGAACTACAAGCAGGTAGGGTATTTTTTTCAACATTAAAAAAATTCTTATACCTTGAAATTTGTGCTTTGAAGGAAATTAAAAAATATTAAGAAGAAAAGAAGGAAAACGATCTCTCTTTCCTTCCAGCTCAAAACATCACTCATCATCTGTTGAATGTATTTAGAGACTATGCACATGCACACACATGAACACACGTGCACTACTGGATGACCTAGCATGATAGTACTCCATGCACCAAGCTATTCACTAATTGTTGTGCCCCCCCCAAATAAACAACTCTATGATTAATAAAAAAAAAATCTCTCGGGGAATTATTATGTGCTGGTGGATATTGACTAAAGTGATTACAGTTTTTTGCCTTTAGGGACGTTTTGTTTTTGTTGATTTATTATTTTGCTTTGTTTTTCCCAGAGTTTGTTCAGTAAACCAAGATTTTTGTGAGTTGCATATTTGGGGGGTGGGGGGTGAACATAAGGCAGGCCATGTGTAAAAAATGGCAAAAATGGCCTCTATAAGGTGCAGCTTGTCTTGATAAGAAATGGAGTCTTTTTCCATACTCCTTGAATCTGGGCTGGCCTTGTGACGCTTTGACCAATAGAAGGTGCCAGAAGCAATAATGTACATGTTCTGAGCCTTCAGAAGGACTTAAAGCTTCTATTCTTTCTACTGTTGGGAATCTTGTAATCACCTCTACGTGAACAAGCCGGTCTAGCCTATTGGAAGTCGAGAGACCTGTGGTTCAGTTACCCTTGTCACTCCAGCTGAGAACTAAACAGCCAGACAGAGAAGTGAGGCCATTGGTCATCAGTCGACCACAGACAGATCAGCAGAAAAAATCACTTGGCAGATCTACAGGACTGTGATTTAAATAAATGGATGTGGTTTTTGCTTGTTTGTTTGTTTCTCATGCAGTAAAAGATAACTGACATACCACGTATATACTGCTGTTGTGAAAATAGACGTAATAAGCCCAGCACATATGTGGTCTATTTTCTTCTGTTTGGACCAGAGCGTCACGTGTGTCAGCTAAAGGAAAGCCAGGGTCCAGCTCCTCCAGGGGTGCCAGGTGAAGGAGAGGCCCTGAAGGGTTGGCAAGTCTATACTCAGGCACTGATAGGAATCCCCTGAAGCTCTAAGTAACTTAGATAGGGCTGAGAGTTCTGGGTCAGGAAGCAGAGTTGGGCATCTTTCCATGAAGCAGCAGAAGGGACTTCGCCCAGCTGGTACTCAAAGTTCCAGGACCCTGTGTGACCTCAGCCCAGACCTGGTTGAGGTTAGCTTCTTACCTGGACACGTTCCAGGGTCTCCTTTTTGGCCCACTGCTCCTTGTAACCCAGGGGGCCCTGGATTTCCTTGAGGCCCCACCTTTCCAGGAGGGCCCTGCATACCTCTGAGTCCTTGGCCTATTGAAAAATGAAAGAAACATAAATTAGTATCTGTAGTTTTGCCCTATTTCTCCAAGAATGTGATGCCCAATCTTTCCCCAGGAGAAAAGAGACATTAATCCAGGACCAACTTTCTAAATCACTGCTTCCACTAACACAGAGAAGAGAAACACATCGACTGGCTGCCACCCATACGACCCCAAACAGGGCTGGGGACAAACTGCAACCATGGTACGTGTCCTTAGCGGGAACCGATCCCGGGTCTCTCCGGTCCGCGGGCTGACGCTCTACTGGCCAGGGCTGACCCAGAGAAGAAAACCTTCCCGTGTCCCTCAGGTGGCCTGCCATGAGGGCCAACTCCCTGAGCAGGCAGGACAAGGACATGTCACCAACTCCTGTGTGGAAGTCTGGGATGCCAGAGAGTCAACGCTCTGTGTTTTGAATTATAACAGGTAGTTGGGAGCAATGCACCTGTACGAACAGGACATTGTCTCACACTTCTGGGCAGTTTGGTCTGGAGGGCGAAGGGTCCCAGAGCTGGAACAGCCCAGGCTCTACCTGGCTCGCCCTTTTCCCCCTTGGCGCCATCGTGCCCATCTTTGCCGGGGAAGCCGTTGAGGCCTGGACAGCCACAGGTGGTGACAGGGCAGGTCTGTTGGAGGTCCTCCTTAGGTTCTGTTTCTAAGGAAGATGCTGTCATCACACTCAGAAGAAGGAGAGCGAGCTACGGAAACAGAGACACGGTCCTTACCTTGGTGTGTGGAAAGTCAAGGAAGATGATCTCATCTTGTCCAGTTACTCGACATGTGTTTACCAAGCATTCCTTCTGTCCCGTAGGCCGCACTGGGCAGAGGTGATGGAGACCTATATGGACCACCCATTGCTGCCTCCAGGCTGGGGATTTGGGAAAGTAAATCTTCCTTCTGGATATTGTATGATTAGTACTTTAACAAAGGTGGGTACAACATGCAGTGGGGCCCCTGGGGCTCTGGCGTTGCCACTAGAAGGCTGAGTATGCTTCCCGTGTCCCTCATAAGAGCAAATGAGCCGACACTGCCAGCACACTCATGCCTGTTTTCGTAGGGGGTGGAAGTGAATGGAGACCTAGGAATCTAGGTCTCTCCCATTTGGGCCCATCTGCCACCTGCACCCCATCCTCATAACTGGGCAGGCCATTGCCCTTCAGGGTCAGTTAACCAACACTGATTTAATGGCAAGCACTAAGCTGTAGGCTGGTGATTGAGAGAGGAAGAGTCACTACTAGTCACCAACCCAGCCCAGAATTAACTTGAGTTTGTTTCCCCGGAAGTTTCCTTTCCCACTGCAAGAGAAACTTACCAGGCGTAGCATTTTCTCTGCAATTTCTCACTCCCTTGTCCCTGGCAGGGTGCCAGATTCCTCTCCAGTTCCTGGCAGAAACTTCCCGGGTTCTGTGAGTCAAAAACACTGGCAGTTACCACCTTGCTTGACTCCCCTCCCCATTTCTCAATCTTAGCTTTGCATCTGTCCTTCAAAGCTCTCTTTCAAAACTGTCATTTCTCAGGAAACCTCAGCAGCCCGGCATCGTGGTTTCAATTCTTTATGGCTCTCTTTGGAAATGAAGGCAGTTTCATTTGTAAGTGGTCAGGTAAATCCAGGGAAGTCACAGGTGCCCCCAGCATAAGCAGAGAAAGAGATACCTACTATGTGACTTCTGCTGGCCCTCTCCGCCCCTCTACCACTCAGCAAACTTCCCTCAAGCCTCCAAGGTAAAGTCAAGTCCCTAGACAAACCCAAGACCCTAGATCGATTCAACAGAAAGAACTTACAGGACTTCTTCAGTGCAGGGGTGCAAAGAGAGGAAGCCAGCCCTCCAGCCAGGGCTCAGGTAGATGTCTCTGGGTGAGGAAGGAGGCTGGTCTTGGAAACTGCAGGGCCCAATCAGCTTCGTGAACAGCCAGGCTGGCCTGACCTTCAACCTCTGATTAATAGACAACTCTTCCTTGGACTGCACTGAGCTCCTGGCATGGCACAGGGGCTCGGGCACAGTGCTCAGCTGCTGTTTGCTATACTATTGCACAAATCGCCCTTCAAATTGGCACCTATTTTTTATTGTGGTAAAATATACATAACCTCAAATTGACCAATTGACCATTATTCGGTGTACAAGTCAGCAGTGTTAAGTGCATTTACATTGTTGTGCCACCATCACCACTAATCATCTCCAGAACTTTTTCATCTTCACTACTTGAGACTGTACTGATTGGACAATAACTTCCGTTCCCAGCTCCCACCCCTCAGGCCTGGCTACTACTGTTCTACTTTTTGTCTCCGTGAATTTGTCCATTCTGGGTACCTTATCTTAGTGAAATCAGACGATATTTGTCTTTTTGGGACTGGCTTATTTTACTTAGCATAATGTCTTCAGGGTTTATCCTCATTGTGGCATATATTGAAATTTTCTTTTCTAAGACTGAATAATATTCCATTATATGTAAATATCACATTTTGGAAGTTTCCTTTTTAATAGCCAAAATGACTGGAGCTAACTCAATTGTTCATTAACAAGTGAATGGATATATGAACTGTGGAAAACACACAGGAAAAAACCCAAACAGACTACTGATCCATAAAACAGCTTGAATGAAACTCAAAGGCATGATGTTGAGTAAAAGAAATACAATCTCAAAAATTTACAAACTGCATGTTCTTTTTATAGTCTTGCAATGATAAAGTTACAGTACTAGAGAACAGATCCATAGTTGGCCAGAATAAGAACTACAGGTTAGATGTAGCTCTAAAGGTTTAGCATGGGAAAGTTTCAACGGGGGTGATGGAACATTTCTGCATCTTAATTGTGGTGGTTATACAAACCTATGATTCTAAGAAAATTTCATAGAACTATACACCAGGAAAAAAAAAAAAAGGAAAACAGGTAAATAATGGTTAAATTCAAATAAGATCTGCATTTTGTATTGTTCCAGTGTCAGTTTCCTGATTTTGACACTTGTACTCTGGTATGCCAGATCCTATCATTGGTAAATAATGGATGAAGGGTACATGAGACCTCTCTTTACTATTTGTCCCACTTATATGTGAGACTAAAATTGTTATTTTTTTAAATTTTTCCAAAGGGACTCTCAAGGAAGTTGCAGGGGTTTCAAAGACTAGTCTTGCTTCCTTCAGAGCTGTGTCCAAGTTTCACTTGGTGACTAGCCTGTGCAGTGGCTTCAAAGTGAGACAAGGGAGACCAGACTCCCAGCGATAATACTGTTCAGTCTGACTGATAATACTGAGATCCACATGCCGAGGGATAAGGCGTGAGTGGACTGACAACAAGATTGTAACTTTTATAAGACTTTGGCCCTCCTCCAAAGGACCGTTAGAGGAATCTCAACAGAAGAGAGATGATCAGATTTGAATTTTCAAAGATTGTTCTGACTACAGTGTGGAAAAGGATTGGAGGGGAAGAGGTATGAAAAAAAATATCAGACCTGCAGGAGGTACTTCCATCATTTAAGCAGCAGATGCTGGTGCCAGAATTAGCTCGATGGCAGAGAAGTCAGGAAGGGGACACATGTCAGAACAGGTGAAGCTATATTTGAGGGAACTTGGGAACTGGTTGGATGTAAATGGTAAACAAGAAGAAGTTTTTATGGACTCACAAGTTTCTGACTTGAATATTTGGGTACCATCCTACTGAGATAAGAAATAAGGGCCAAAGAATAATTGCAGCAGAGATAATGAGTATCTGGTGGGTAAATGGTTTGAACCATGGGATGGTGGTTAAGAGAGACAATATAGATGGAATGAAACAACACCTTTATGATGCACAATGGAGTAAACTGTGAACAACATTTCTAATAAAACTGTCATAAAATGTCGTGTGAGCTTGAAGTGGTGAGGGAGCCCATCATGGAAGCTTCATACAGGTGTTGCAAAGCCATGTGGTGGGGGTGTTACAGAGCCCTCCACACACCAGAAGGCATGTAGGTGGATGAGATTCCCCCCCAGTTCCCTTCCAATTGGACTGTCCTTGGCTTGGTTTCCTTACTTCCTGCTGACCCATCCCCTGTACCTAAAAAATGGTCAGGACAGTAGAGAACCACATGCCTAAAGCAAAAGAAAGACACCAGAAGATCGAGGGCCTAAACATGGCTGCAGGCAACTGTCTGTCTTCCCTACTCTTTAGCCACCAAACTTTCCTGTGGCTCCTGCTCCAAAGTGGCAGGAGGTGAAGTAAGGTAGCCGAATCCAAGTCATGTTGAAGTGCTGCCTTCGATCACAGTGCTTGTTTTTATTAAACATTTCGTCCAAAGGTCAGGAAGCTGCCCTCTAGACCCTGACATTTCCTGGAAGTGGGCTGGGAAGGGGTGAGCCACAGCTCTGGGTGCTCCCCAGCTTTGAGCTCTTTCTGCTCTCTAGAGTCTCCTGCAGGCCTTTCCCATCATGAACTACCCCTCTCCACATGCATCAAGCCCTGGCTACCCCATCTTCACTCTACATCAGAGGTAAGGCCACTGCGTGTATTTGTTCCGAAACTTTGTCCCTTCCTACCCTTCCCAGTATGGCCTCCACGCAGGTTCCTCCACCAGACATCCATCTCACCTCAAGAGACTTCAAAGCCACTGCCTCTCTGACCTGTAGGAGGACTGCCTGGACCCTTATACCCCTTTCCTCTCACTTGGAGTGGAGTCCCAGCTTTGCCACTTCTCAGCTGTGTGACCTTGGCCAAGTTCCATCTCCTTCGGTTCCTCAATTTCCTCATCTGGGAACCAGGATCCCACTGCCGTGGTTGTGCTGTGGCATGCCTTCTGGTGCATGGCACACCGCCCACCATGCCAGGGCCTTCGTGGCTTCTAGGATGACCACTCAATAGTCTCCTTAGGAAGCAATGTCCTTGGGTGGTCCCTTGTGGGAGGCAGAATTAGATTCCGAGGCTTGTTTTGGGCTCATAACTGTGAGTTTAAATATACCCCATATTCTGATAGCCTCAGTTTTTTCACCTATAAAATCAGACTTTGAACCTCATTCTCCCTCCCATAGGGACACGGTGAGTGAGACAGTGACCGCAGTTGAAAAAGGGCAGTGACCTCCAGGCACAGTCCACCAGGAACATGCTTCAAGTCAAACGAAGTTGATTCGCTTCCTCTTAGGTTTTGTGAATTTTGTACGTATTATATAGAGAGATATTGCATACAATGGCAAACCACATGACTTCTCAGGAACAGGTCATCAGGAGGGATTTCTAGGGGATTTAGCCTTGTAGTAGGTGATTTGGGGGGAAATTTTAAGAAACGATGTCTGTGCTGCATAGGATACTGTCAAGAACCGAGGTGATGCTATAATTGAGTTATCTTACCAAATTTTATCAAGCAGGAGAGAGAAATAGAACAAGTCAAAGCTGTATTATGTAAAAGAGCAGCAGGTATTCATGTTAGCCAGGAGGGGAGCATGGTTTCATTTTTGTGGTTCTCTGGGTGATCTTTTTTGTCTGTGTTCAGGTAAGACTTCGGAATGAGCCTCTGCTGGTTTGGCTCAGCAGTTAGAGCATCGGCCTTTGAACCAAAGGGTTGAGGGTTCAATTCCGGTCAAGAGCACATACCTGGGTTGCAGGTTCAATCCCCAGCCTCGGTTTGGGTCATGCAGGAGGCAACAAATCAATGTGTTTCTCTCACCAATGTTTCTCTCTCTTCCTCTCCCTTCTTCTCTCTCTAAAATCAATAAAAATAAAAATAAAGAGATTTTGGAATGATCTTCGTATCTCATATCAGAATGAACGTGCTGGAGAGCAGGGGCCTGCTCCTGTGCACAGAAATGAGAACCCACAGGGATCTCAGAGCTTCTCAGACATTCTCCACTTTGTCGTTGCCCCGCCCCACACCCAGGGTTGTATTTCCACCAACAGAGTGCCTCCCTCCGGGCCCCCTTTTCTCTAACAACCAGTTTCCTGATGAGTGACAGCTCATGGAGACAGTTACCCTCATTCCTGGTTCTCTCTTTGGGGCCAGGAAAATTTTTGTGAGTGTTCATCCTCTGCCCCCACTTTGTCTCACTGGGTGGGAGGCAGCGCAGGGCATGGCGGAGTAAACCATTTAGAGCCCAGCACCCCGAGGAGGAGGAGGAGGAGGAGGAGGAGGAGGAGGAGGAGGAGGAGCTCACAGATGAGATAAGAAGAGAGCTGAGTGGGCACCTCATCACCATAGGAACGTGGCCAGAAATAAACACCAGCTACTGCATAGTCATCAGAATGGTCTGACCAGTCATTTAAAGTAAACATAATTGATATCTATAAAGAAGTCAGTGAAAACATGTGCCATATGACATAGACAAGGGATGGTATAAAAATGATAAAATAGACATATTAAAATGAGTGGCATAACAGAATCATTGAAATAATGAACTGTGACACTGTGGTTTATAATAAGAAATACATTATTTGTTCTCTGTCCTGTTCCTGGCTTAGAGCACCCCAAACCTTTGGAATTTCCTAAGTGATGAAAATAGAAAATGTCTTTGTTATGGTAATGAGGTGGCTTTTGGAAAGCTCCTAGGTGACCTAAGGAGGAGCTGATTGCAGGAGAACTAGTAGCTGTGGTTACTGGGTTGGAATTTTCAGCCCCCCACACCCATCTTGGAGAGGGGAGATGGGCTAGAGATTGAGTTCAATCACCCATGGCCAATGATTTAATCAGTCATGCCTCTGTAATGAAGCCTCCATAAGAAAACCAAAAAGACAGTGTTCAGGATTGGCGACCTTCGGGGTTGGCGACCACGTGGAGACGGAGGGCGTGGCATCCTGGATGGAAGAGGGCATAGAAGCTCCTTGCTCGTTCCTGCATACCTTGCCCAATAGATTTCTTTCATCTGGCTTTTCCTGAGTTACATTCTGTTACAATACACTGTTCAATGTAAGTAACAGTTTCTCTGAGTTCTATGAGCCATCTTAGCAAATTAATTGAGCCCAAGATTGGGGTCATGGAAATCGTCCATTTACAGCTGCTCAGTCAGAAGTCCAGCTCCTGGACTTGCAACTGGTATCTGAAGTGGGGTGGGGGGGTGGGGGGGGTGCAATCTTGTAGGACTGAGACCTTAACCTGTGGGATCTGCTGCTGCCTCCAGGTAGACAGTGGCAGAGTGGCGCTGAATTGTGACACCCAGCGGCGTCAGAGAATTGCTTGGCGCTATGGGAAAAAGTGCACACATTGGATGAACAAAATAGTAAGTGTGTCTGCCAGGGTGGGTGGAGCTGAAGAACGCATCTGAGGGCTGAGGGGGCAGAGGGCTCCCCGTTCCGTGCTGGGCACCCGGGGAAATGGAAGCTGGGGGTTCAAACAGGGAACTTCAGAGTATTAACAACAAAAGGGCAGGCTCTGTGGCACAAAAACTCAGTTGGACAGACTGTGCTCCGGGTTTGGATGCCCCCAAACCAACTGGTTCACACAGATACAGGGGAGCAAGGAGTGGGAGCCACGGAGATGGCAGCCCAGCCCGACACTGATGGCAGCGAGGAGACCAACGAGAGGCGCTGGCCTTGAGCCTAACCTGATAGCTGTGCCCAGTGAGTACTTGGCCTCTAACCAATTACATCACTAAATCCCTTCCCTTTGTACCAGTTAAAAACTAAGGGATTTAGAGGCGGTTCAGAAATGTGTGATTGGGTGGAAGCACTCTTGTTCTCAACATTGTGTCACTTCTGATTCTTGTGACCAACTGCATGTTAACAGCCGCGCTTGGGTTCTCCGGGGGACAAGGATGACCCCCAAATCACGAATGTCTCAAAACATCTTCCACTTTCACCAGGTAGCTCTCCTGATACCCTCCAAGACCAGAGACACAGCGAGCTCCGCTGTTGCATTAATGGATCCACTACGTCGTTGTTTTATGGAATTTATCCCCACACTGGACACTTGGACTTGTGTGCGTGTGTGTGCGTGTGTGTGTGTGTGTGTGTGTGTAGTGGGCGAATGTGGGTCTCTGAATGTGCACCTATGCCTTTCCTTAAACCACGCCCTGCGATCAGGAGCACCCCTGTGACTTTGCAGGTAGGCTGATACCCAGGGGCCAGTCATGAGAGGGACCCACGGTGGTCTAAATGGTATGAAGAATGATAGGCTATAATGAAAAGTGACCATAGGATGTAAGAACACTCTCCGTGGCTCAGACCTCCTTGGAGGAGGCATAGTTGAACCACTGAACCCAGAGGATGGCCGAGAAGTCTGCCACCTGGCCTGGCCAGAGGCGCTCCGCAGTCATGGGACAGAGGAAGGAACGTTTTGGAACACAGACAGGGAGGCAAGCCAGAGCTGGTGGCCACTCTGCCGGGCAGTGAGTGGGTGTGGGTGTGGCAGGCCCGGAGCACAATGTCCCTGGTGGAAGTGGGTGTGGGTGTGGCAGGCCCGGAGCACAATGTCCCTGGTGGGGGAGCGGCTGCTTCCCGAGATTGCACGTGGGGAGAGGACGGGGGAGGGAGTCAGGGCAGACGTGCAGGCGGGAAGCCTTCCAGCTGGCTCTTCCCTCCAGAGGGCTGCAGGGAGTTGCAGTCAGACCAGGCCCAGGCGGTATGCTATCCGTATGCTCTCCGACTCGCCAGGGACGGGCCTTGGAGCCGTGGCTGGGCCAGAGCTGTTGGGATGTGCTCACACCCACCAGGCTGGCCCACCAAACTGCCCCCACAGTCTGCATGGGGCCCCTTTGTCCTGAGCGGCCCTCTAGTGCCCAATAATGAGAAAGCTTGTTCTGGTCACTTTAAGGAAGAAATGCTCACGGGCGTTCTGTAGTTTAACAGCATGCATTGAAGAACAAATCTGTAACTCAGAGACCTCCGATAACTGTCACAGTAGGTGTGTCCGTGTGCACAGCAAATCCTTCAGTGCCCTGTGTGCCCTCTGAGGGCACATGTCACATCAGGGAGTGCCCCAGCCAGGCCTCGGGAAGGCTGAAAGCCAAGGTGGGCAGAAGGCTGGGCCTGGCTGGCTCTGGGCTCTGAGGCTGCCTGTGGGCTTCTCTCTGCCCAGGCACCACAGAGCCGCCCCTAGTTTATTCCAGCTTCAAGGCATCCACTGTTAGTGGCTCAATTCCATTGACACCCCCACCCCCAAATTTATACATTGAAGCCTTAACTCCCAGTGTGACTGTATATAGAGACAGGGCCTTAAAGGAGGTGATTATGAATAAATGAGTCAGCCCTGGCCGGTTTGGCTCAGCGGTTAGAGCGTTGGCCCCGGACCAAAGAGTTTTCCGTTCATCCCTGGCCCTGGTCGGGGTCCTGCGGGAGGCAACCAGTCGATGTCTCCCTCTCAAGTCGATGTTTCTCTCTCTCTCTTCCTCCCTCCCACTACATCTGAAGATGAATAGAAAAATACCTTGGGTGAGGATTAAAAAATAATAATAATAAATGAGTCATAATGATGGGCCCTGGTGCGATAGTGTCAGTGTTTTTATAAGAAGAGACACCGGAGACCTCGTGTTTGTGCACGCACGTGGAGAATCAGCTTTGAAAGGACACAGAGGGCAGCCAGAGGGTGTCCACAGCAGCTAGAGTGGTCTCATCAGAAATTCTCCCTGCTGCTACCTTGATCTTGAACTTTTAGCTTCCAGAACTACAAGAAAGTAAGCATCTGTTGTTTAAACCACCCACTCTGGAGTGTGTTGTCAAGGCAGCCTGAGATGACTTACACACCACCCGAGGCTCGGGGGAACTGAGCTAACCAATCCCAAACCACTTCTGTGGACCAGGACATTGGGGATGCAGGGAAGACTGTCCGCGGCAGGGGGGTATGGACCCTGGAGGAGAGTGGGTGGCAGTGGAATGGGCGTGGGAGGGGTTAGGAAGATGCTCTCTGCTGGAGGGCAAGGGGAGCTAGATGTCACCTGCCCCTATTCCACGTTCCCTCAGACAGGGAACATACATCTGATTCCCATCCAGACCTGAGCTTTGTGACTGAGACAGAGTCTCAATCCCCCCGCTGTTAAATGGACTTAAAAAAGTCCTTAAAACCCAGAAATATGTTGTTGGAGGGCTAACTGGAAGGTTGTATGGATATGGAATCTCTAGTGGGGCCCATGCTAAAAAAAAAATTGCCCTGACAGAGAAAGTAAACCAAGAATGAGAGCTTTCTGTGACAGATGGGGGAATGGAAACTTGAGGGACCAGGTTTTACTGAGCCAGGAACACCTGGTCTGGGTTGACTCCCTGTTTAAGGAGCTGGAATGGAGGGGAGAGGGGGTCCTGTCCTTTCAGTTAGCTCTGCAGGGCTTCCGATGGTCCCAAAGAGTATTTACTGGTCACCCCTGCCATCTAGTGACTAAACAGAGAACTGCAGCTAACCAAGGGCTGCCCGAGAGATCACACATCCCCTTTCAATCATTCTACAACTTACTTTCTGGAAGCTACCCATCAGGCGCTGGGACAGAACCTGGGATATACAGGAGAATGTACTTGCCTTGTGAGCTCACAGTCTAATGGGGAAAGCTGACCCAAATTTATATTAAAATGTTCTGCGATGAAGAAAACAAAGGACAGATATAAAGGGAACATCAGAAGATTATTCAGGGAAGGAAGGCATCTCTGGAAAGAAGAAAGAATCCTGAAGTATAGATATGCGAGGAAGTACATTTTAGGCCAAAGAGCATTGTAAATGCCAGATGTGGTAATGTGCGGGGCATTTGAAGGTCAAGGTTCGCTCCCTCCTGCGCGGGCAGACTCTCAGAAGAGACCTTAGCTGTGGGAGCCTCACTTTCCTCGTCTGTAACAGGAGACTCTGGTTGCACCCACAGGGAAGGAACTCCTGTCCTGTCGGGATGCCAGGGCTGGGTCACCATTGGCAACATTGTGTTGAAGGAGAGCACTCACCGCAGGGCGAGATCCTCGTGGATTAAGTGCTCAGACCCCCAAGCTTCTTTGCAGAAGGACAGAACCACCCTTTGTCTTTCCTGAAGAATTGCATATAATGCTCTGCTGACCCCCCAGAGGAACCACTAGGCTAGTATTTAAATTCCGTGGATGTGAGTTAGCAGGGTAATGCAACTGAAAAGGCTGAACACATGTGTAACAGCAAGCATCCACGACCCATTTGTTATACATCACCAGTCTGGACTACAGAGAGACCCTCAAATGTTTTGAAAGACAAAATACTTTCAAATTGAGATTATGTTCCATAATCTCACTTCAGGAAAATTAGAAATAAGTAACAATATTTAAAGTAAAAAATAAAAAATACAACTGGTTGGAAAATTCTGAGCTCTCCTACATAATCTCTGGGTCCAGAGAGCCACCCAAAACATTACTGCACAAAATTTTAAAAATACAAATAACGAAAACACAAACTATAATAATCTGTGGAATAGAGCTAAAGTTTTTCAAGAAGGAAAATTCATACCATCTAACATTTTTTAAAAAATTTTAAATGTGAGAAAGAATTGAAATGCAATAATGTGTTAAAAAATGTTAGAAATGATAAAGGAAACACAAGTAACAGGATTATTAAAGAATCAAATGGATAAATATGTGAAAGCATTTTGAAAGCTAGATAGAATTATGCATGTATGTTATTTCATTTGTAAATATTAATAATTACTACTTTAATCTATTGCAACTGCATGCCAACAGAAGACCACTTAAGGCAAAGGTCTATTCGGTTTATGAGCTAATGTCTGAAATTCTAAGACAATTCAAGATCTGAAACTTAAGTCCTTCATACTCAATAATTTGTAAACAAGCTCTTTTTTTATCCCTGACCAAAATATTCAATAGATTACCTAATACCTTAGCTATTCATTTAAAGAGCTGGAATAGTCTGGCTGGTGTGGCTCAGTGGCTGAGTGTCAACCTCTGCACCAAGAGGTCGCCGGTTCGATTCCCAATCAGGGCACATGCCCAGTTTGTGGACTTGATCTGCTGTGGGGGGCATGCCAGAGGCGGCCAATCGATGTTCTCTCTCATCGATGTTTCTATTTCTCTCTCCCTCTCACTTCCTCTCTCTGTGAAATCAATAAAGGAATAAAAAACAAAGAGCAGGAATAAGATGCAGGTATTTTGGCTAGTATCCACTTGGACTACAATGGTGCCCCCTCAAAAAACACTTCTATGTATAATCCATAAAATCAGAAAATATACATGATCTGTCTCCATACGCTGATTACTTTTGTTAGGTAATGATTTGAGAAAATTCACAATAAGTTTTTAATTGGTATGATTGATTCTTATGACAGAGACTGGCTAGATCTTTTTCAAACCTCATTTTTGTACCCAACAAAGTTATGTAGCTCTCTGTTAAGTTAGGTGTGACCATGTGTCTGCATGGCCAATGGAAGGTGAGCCGAGGTCCTGCATCACTTACAGGCTTGACCCGTTAAAAACACTTGCGTGTGCTTCATTTTTCTCCACAGTCCAAATGAAGATAAACACTTTGTTTGCATTACATCATTTGGTTATTTTTGGCATATTGATAAAATTATGCACTCATCATCACTACGAGTCCCCGAATATTTTCATTGCCTCAAGAAGAAATCTCATACTCACCAGCAGTCGCTCCCATTCTTTCTTCTAAGCAACACCTGGAAAACCGCTAATGTATTTTCGATCTGTACAGATTTGCCTACTCTCGATGGTTCCTGTAAGAGGAATAACAGAAGATGTGGCCTTTGGTGGCTGGCTTCTTTCCCTAGCATGTCTTTCAGATCCATCTGTGTTGTGAAATGAATCAACAGTGTATTCCTTCTAATGGCTGAATAATATGTTATTGCAGAGATACCACATTTTATTTTTCTAGTCATTAGTTGATAGATTCGGAGGTTGGTTCCACTACTGGGCTACTATGATTAGTGCTGCTATGAACATTTATGTACATAATTTGTGTGAACTTGTGTTTCCAATACTCCAGGATATATGCCTAGGAGTGGAATTGCTGGATCACATGGTAATTCTGTGTTTAACTTTTGGGGAACCTGCTTTTACCAAGTGCTCGCTTGTGCTGCATCCTCTGATATAGATTATGCGTACACACCTGCTAACAGCTATTGAGCACCTGCTTTGGTCCAGACTCCGAATAAGTGCTTTCCACACAGTTCTCTACTTGTTCTCATATAAATCTAGTTGGTAGGCATTAGTATCACCAATATCTACATCCTGAATTATACACATTTTCCGTGGTCACACAATCCTTACATGTCAGTGCACTGTTCAAATTCAACACTGACTGACTCCAAAAGCTGAGATGTATGTTCCCACTGTCAGCCTCGGCAGTTAATTTCAATGCCCTCTGGATAGAGACTCACAAGTCACAAGTCAGCTACCGCTTTATCAGCCTGAGTATTAGAACTCTGTGTTTTGGTTCCCCAGACTTCTTTTTCATTTTCTCTGTATTAGCCTTCCTTAAAGACTGTCAGAATGCCCTCCATGGGTCTGATTAATTCCTTTTTCACTTACCATGTGAGAATTCCACCCCCCAAACACTGAAACTCCTCAGTGGTGCCCACCCATTGTTCTCAATGCCGGTGCCTTGTGGGGACTTAACTAATTCCCGTACGTGCGTGCAGGGAGTTCTTTGCTGGTTTGGGATCTTGGTGCCCTATTTCTTAGCTTGCCTGGCCTGTGTCACCCTCCTTGTGACAGGGTTCCTCTCTCTTGTGCACACGGAGCATTCAGTTATTGGCGGGCTAGCACCCCCACTCCAGGCTAGCTCAATGACCTAAGAGATTGCACTTGGAAAGATCATTCGTGTCGAAAGCCCGGAAAAGAGACTTGTGGTCATTACTTGACCATTTCCGTGATCCTTCCAGAGACAGAGTTTCCAGACCTGTGGAACTGGAGGCCACCTAGAAAGATAATTTCCAAGGCTCACTTTACACTTATAACAAATATTAGCATACTTTGCAATTTTATGATAGCACATGCTTCTGAAGGGAACCCAAGTTTCGCCACCCCCAAACCGTGCCTTTTGGGATATTGATTTCAAGCTGGTTATTAACAAACACAGAAAGGACCTTTGACCCTCCCTTATTCCTGCCTAAGAGATGCAAATGGAAAGGCCAACTCCAGCAAGGGGGTCTTAGCATAGTCAGCTCAGCATAGATCCCCACCCTCTGTGTCCCATTGGCTCTGGTTGCCTAGCAAGGTTTTCCCGGCCTTGGAGGTTCAGCTCTGCCTCAGCATCCAGTAGATTGCCTGTTTTCTTCAAATTCTCAGAACCCTGCCCCCATCTCCTTTGGCTGTTATGGCAGATAAACCTCAACTGCCCAATGCACTTCAGGTTTCATATCTATGAAACACCCAGCATGTACATCCATGGTAAACGTTGTACATTTTCTCCTGCTACTCTCTGCTAATTTGATTATAAGCCCACTTATAAGAAGTTAGGGAGTGGAAGGAAATATATATATATATATATATATATATATATATATATATATATTCACACATATATATATATATATATATATATTATAGCCTCCAACACTTCATAGTTTTTTTTTTTTTTACATTGTTTTGAAAAGAGACCTTATCACAATTGTAGTGGAACATCATCTAGTTACAGATGAAGACACATTTTAGCACATCAAATTTCTCTGTGCACACAATACAACATTAATGGGGGATCACAATACAGTTTTATAAGAGAGAAAATAGTTCAACTTTTTCTTTTTATCTTTTTTTCTATCTTTGTGAAGAGAAAGTACAAATAGGGAATGCATTTGCCCTGTCACCTTAAATTAAGTATTGGCTTTTTTCTAGAAAAACAGATTTAAGAAAGATCAATACAAATACAGAAATTTATTTTTATCAACACTTTCATAAGAAAACAAAGTTAGTCAAATTTACCTCCTTTCTGATGTAACTAAACATTCCCTGTGGGTTCCCTTCCGCTTTTGAGTAAAAGGATATTAAAGAGGTAAGTGCATTTCCTGCAGTCTTACAAAGCCATTTTACAATAAATAATTTGTGATGAAGTGGGAATTACATAAAAGTCGTTTTTTGATATGAGAAAGAGTAATTCTATAACTTGCAGAGAGACTATACCTTTCAAATACTTGAAATTATGGTACAAAATAAACCCTAAGAGGCCAAATGTGCTATGCCCAATAACTAACTATAGCAGTTGACTTCCATCCATATGATAAAGTCAATATTTTTTTTTAGTGACAATGCATTTTTCTTTTCACATTAAACTGTATTCCCTGATCATGAATACATAAAACTGAAGGAATTCTGAATACCTGATAAATCATTCTTTGTTTGACATATCACCATGTCAAAAAACATAGAAATATCAATATTTTTGTTGTGAGGCAAGTGAAAAAAATAGCAGTATAAAATCCTTTGTGACCCTAAATTTTATTTGTATTTGTTTATGTATTCATGTGTATTCCCAAATGCATTGTGGTAACTTATTTTTAAATATTAAAAGCATAGTAGAGAATGTACCATTACTCTTGTTCAAAAGAAAATTTAAAAGTACTCTTACAATCTATACCATTACTTTTTTAAAAACTTCTATAGAATACATATTAGATACAGTTTTCAGATCGCAATAACTATGGCTTCATGCCCTTAATTGAAGTGATATTGATGAACTGATTGGAATAACCAGGGCAAATGAGCAGCAAAAGTAAGAGAATGTAAGTTTCCTTACATTCAACATGGCCTAGATGGAAGGAATATAAACGCTCATGAAAATTCCCACCTAATTTGCATTCTTTGTATATAAGTGAAGACTTTAGAAAGGGGTAAGAGGTGAAAGATTTGAGAACTTTGCTTTATTTTAGACTAGTACTCTGGGCTAATTCAATCAGGTTTTTTTCCTCTGAGAAATGCTGCCCATTAGGGTTCCCATGAAGAAAATGAGCGTGAATGAGAACAAAATTATTCTGGCTGGAGATACCCTATCATGATCTATCTGTTTCTTCTTGTCTTCTAGACAGAACGTGAATATGTATATGTAATAAGTTAGCAACCTTTGCCTCTTAAATAAAATTTTTACTTTTACAAAAATGCTCTAAAATGAACTTGATTATTAGTTTACATTTCAATTAAGAAAATATCCATATACACTTAAAATGCTATTTACTTATTTACTTATTATTATTATTATTTGTTTACAAACCTGCTTTTGCATAGACAGGGAAACAGTAAACTAAGTTCTATACATATTATCTACAACACAAAATGGGTTGCAGGTCCTTCCTGGGGTAATATTTGCTGTTATTTCTTGTCATTGATACTCCAAAATAGACTCAAAATGATAATAAAAAATAAATAAAGTGGAATAAGTGTTGCTGAGAGTCAATTAGAAAAGGCTCGGAGGCCCTGAGGGAGTGAGACACGACCATGCCTCATGTCTCAGCTCTTAGAACAATGGCCAGGTTGGCTTCCGGTTGCTGAATTCAGCTCAAGGAGGAACGGCAAACATCTTGGATCGATGAGCACTGCGTGGACACGCGTATATGGAATTCACTCCCACCTCCTCAAGGTGACCAGGCTATCTGCATTCCCACCTTGAGAGGAACCAATCAGTTTCAACAACCAGCATCCTCTATTTACATAATGGGCCTGACCAATCCCAGCTGACCCAGCCAACATCCTTCATGCACATGGAGGACCCCAGTGGGAACAGCTTCTGGAGGTTTTGCCCTCTGCAAACCCTGCCTTTCTTTGTTCCCTTTGGAGCACAGTTCAGGTTGCTCTCTGAATCTATAACTCCAGTCCCATCTCTGTTCAAATAAATGCTCTTCTATTTTATATTATAGCTGAAAACATTTTTGTTAACCAGAAACATCCTTGGACTTCAGATTACAACTCTGATCAGGAAAGAACTTGGAAGTCATTATCCCCATTTTCACAGCAAGAGAAAAGCCGAATCCACTGAAAATCAGCACCTTTTCCTAAATCCATCAGAGAATTGAACCACAAGGCAAACCTGCCGCTTGAAATCTGGAGACGTGAATACAGAGAAACACAGCTGATGCCTGCTCACCTGGAGCAGGGACCATAAAGCTAGAAACTGGCAGGATCCTTTACCTGGTAACTTTGATGAATTGCTGGAGGCTGACTGAGGACTAGCTTGAGAAGAGACAATTGTGAGAGCCACACTTTCAGGAGATCTGCACATCCCCCATTTGGGCGTTTGACACCCAGGAACCCCACCAAGTTCTCATGATAAATAGCCAAAGGAATCATCTTGTGTCTTTGTCAGTGGGAACAGAAAGTAACTGTTTTAAAATATGCCCCATTTGGCCCAGCCGGTGTGGCTCAGCAGAGTGAGCATCATCCCATGGACTGAGATATCCCGGTTCGATTCCTGGTCAGGGCACATGCCCGGGTTTAGGCTCAATCCCCAGTAGGTGGTGTGCAGGAGGCAGCCCATTGATGTTACTCTCTCTCTCTTAAAAATCAATAAAAATGATCACTTGATGTGTCTTCTCACATCTATGTTTCTCTCTCTCTCTTCCTCCCTCTCTCCTTCCAGCTCTATCTGAAGATAAGTGCAAAAATGTCCTCGGGTGAGGAAAATTTTTTAAAAAATCAATAAAAATGTATAAAAATAAAATAAAATGTGCTCCAGCCTGGGTAGCCCAGTTGGTTAGAGCATCATCCTGATATGCCAAGATTTTTTGTTTGATCCTTGGTCAGGGCACATACAGAAATCAATCAATGAATGCAAAAGTAAGTGGAACAACAAATTGATGTTTCTCTCTCTCTTATATCAATTAAAGAAAAAAAAAAAAAGCCCATTTGTTCTCTGTAACAAAGGCACACTCTCCTCTCCATTGAAAAAGACTTTAGGAGAGCTGTACCCAGGAGGGTCAGAGAGCCCCGATATTTGCCTGTGCTCTCTGGGTTTCCTTGACTTGATTAAACGCTTTAAGTAAGTGTTAGGTATGCTCTGTGGGGTCTTGTCTTTTCAATCATCTGATCTGTTGCAATTGCTATAAAAAAAAACAGACATTTTCCTGGCCAGTCAGTGGAGGTTCACAGCTCTCAAGATATTCAAATGGTAAAATATGTGCTCTGACAAACCACCACCATCATCTGGGGAGATACAAATGCAAATGTTGCAGCCTTGTTAGAGCTAGAATCAGAAACTCCAGGGTGGAGCCTGGGAACTTGTGTTTGTGGAATTCTGACCGTGTGGTTTCGATGATTAGTCGGGTTTGGGAGCTCCTCAGTTATCCTAAAGCTCCATCAAGGACTCTACAGAGTAGGAATGTGTCTTATCTCCTAGAGAAAAATAGTCCAACCCACGTGGGTAAAGAGTACAGTGTAAATAAATGGAAACCAAAGGAAATGTTGGGTTAAGTACTTGATATAGATTAATTTTTGAATGTTTACATTAAATTGCTTGGTAAATTATAAATGTTCACAAAGGTTGCAATCCATTTTCAGACATATGGTGACAAATACTATTTAAACTAGTAAAAAGGACCTGTAATTATTATACAGTGGTCATAGCTAGAAACCAGGAAAATGATTGTGGCTGAGACACAGTGGTCTATATGTATTTTTAAGTCACCATGATGTCCTGGATTTGCTCATATCAGTAGTGGCCCAAGAGTGGTCTGGAACCTTTTTTTTTCCCGTCATGGAAGTAAGCCAAGCTCTCAGCAACCTGTCAGGAGCATCTCTGCAACTCTGAGACATGTCTCAAATGACTTTCTTTTTCAGAGGTACATTTCATTTTGTTTCAAGTTTAAACAGTATTATAAAAAGATGTATTTATTTATTAATTTGTCCTTCTTGTGCTGAGATGAGCACACAGACAAAGGAGAAGTAGAACATTACGGTGTGAGGATCAGGCAGTGTGATGCGGAGGCTGGATTCCGCACTGGACCTCAGACCACCTGCTTCCAGCCCTAAGATTGACCCTTACTGCTGTGGGACCATGGCCAAGTCTTTTATCCTCTTCGTGCGTGTATTACCTCATCTGCAAGGTCTGAATAACAATATCTCATGCTGTTGTGAGGATTAAATGAGTCGAAAATGTAAAGTGTTTTGAAAGAAAGGGTAGTCATTTAGTAGTTACAGAATAGTTGCTATTTTAGCAGAGTGCTAGCTACTGTACTGATTACTGATGCGGGCTCCTCTGTACTCAAGCGCACCCTCTCTCAATGTTTTCCCTGCCCCAAAACAACCTGACCCAGAGGAACAAAATAATCTGCCTGGAACCAAAGTGTCCTATGCCACAGAAGATGAATCTGAAACCAATTCCAAAGAAATCACAAAGGCAGAGTTCCAAAAAGAAACCAAACTGGGAAAGAAAAAAAATATTCAGTCTTTAGGGACCCATTGATTACAACATTTGCAAGTATTCATAGGTTATTAAGCAATTTAATGTAAACATTTTAAAGACAATGTCTATCAGTACTTCTCCTTTGGTTTCAATTTATCATTTACACTATACTTTTTACCCATGTAGACTGGGCTGATCCAGTCTCTCTCTTAGGAATTAAAGTTCCAAATCATCCCCTGTGATTGAGCTAGGTGTGGGTGTCGGTGATTCCAAGGTAGAACACTGTTTTGGTCTTTATTTACAGGCAGAAAGGAATACATTATTTTTTATTTTATTAAAGACTAAAATATTATCCCCAGTGAGCAATAATTCTGAGGAACCAGCCTGTGGGGATCAGGCAATCAATTCGGGCTCTAACAACGTTTGTGTTTCCGATTCTGGGTATAAATTTGAAGTCACGGGAAGAGCCAAAGTGAAGTAATAATAACCATTCTTCATAACTTGCTCTAATTATGTACACCAGTCAGAGGCCTGGCAAAACAACAGATGGCTCACTCAGACGGTTCGAGTCAGAAGTGTTTTATTGAGGAAAGGCTATATACAGGGGTGTGAGTAGGCTCTGATCGATGCACAAGGCCAGTAAGATACTTCCAGAATCAGGGGATGGGCCAGGGGAGAGGGCTCAGAGCCACCAAAGCAGGGCCCACAGGCAGGGCTGCAGCCCCTGCCAACTGCATGTGGGAGGAGAGTGAGTGCAGGTGTGTGTGTGTCAGGGTGGTGGGGAGAGGGAGTGGTGAAGTGGTGAGGATCCCACTCGGACTTCTTTTTCCTTCTGCTCTCTGATCCTCGCCCGTGTGCCCTATTAGGTGGACCCAACAAGAAGCCAGCGAGCGAGGGAGCATCCCATGCAGGGCACCCACAGAGCCAGGCCAAGGAAAAAGGAACAAACCTCTCAGGTTGGTGAGATCTTATTAGGGACACTGGGTTCAAAGGCAGCAACACCATGCTGGGGTGTCAACATTCCGCCCTGTGGAACTACCCCTGCATGCTAGAGCCTTAACTAGATGAATTAGAATTCAATCTATCCTTTCATTGGAGATGTGTCTGTTGGGAAGAAATAGTACAATGGGTAAAAAATAAGGTGTAAGTAAATTAAGTTCACACACACAAAAAAATGATAGGTTATTCACTTAATATATCCTTAAAATTCAAAGTAAAAAAAAAAAAATGTACCTAAATTCAAACTACTGTATTAAAATAAAGTGCTATCATCTCATTTATAACTTAGGGTCTACAGTCTCAACTTATTTGGGGGGTGGGGGAGCTTCAGTGGTAAAGAGAGAAACTCTCTTTAAAAGTCAGTATTCCTGATGGTGGCAGTGTTAGACCTTGGATCTTGAGTTTGGCTAAGAAGGAATTCAGAGCCAAGAACTCTAGCACAAGTTTATGTAGCCTTTGAGAAAGCAAGTCACAGAGACCAAAAATGTGAGCCAGCTGGGCTGTGTGGACTCAGAAAACAAGTTTCAGAGGCTAAAGAAGGGCTCTTAGAGCTTAGGAGAAAGAAAGCATATCCTTATGTGCCTAAGGAAAGGGGTGTGATGGGGAGGCACGGGTGTGCTCTAGGGAGAGGGGGAGAGGGAAAAGGAGGGGAAGGGTGGGGGGAGATCATACTAGGTCCCCTATTTTAAGTTTTTAATCTGTTTTCTAAAGGCAGAAATTTTAGGGAGTGTCTCAGGGGAGGATCTCAATAGAATGTTCATCAGCTTTTCAGGTGCATCCTTTCGGGGTCAGGGTCTCTCTTTATTGGTCAGCATTAGGGTAGGGGTCATTAGTCATTGCATCTGGTCCTGATGTCAGCCATTGCATCGTTTTGTCTGGTTCTGCTGCTTTTCTGGAGCTGAAACACAACTGAGGCCTAGACATTATCTCTAGTTTGACCAAAACTCTGTCTCTGTGGTCAACAGACCCAAGGTTCTGTTTCTGAGATTGTTTGATGCAGATCAGAATCCCATCATCCAGAGGGCTCAATGCTTCAAGGAGTGAGTGGTCATGCAGGGAGAAGGAGGCAGGTGAATCAGGCTGCTGGGTGGGGCCAGTCTGAGTGAGCTATCTGTCTCAGTTTTCCCATTCCACTTGCCAAGGAATTTTTCCAGCTTATTCCTATCCTGCCTCCCTTTGGAGGATCTGGGGCGTTCTCAACAGGAGATTTTTCATGGTAACGCCTACTAATTAAATGTTTTCTGTTCTTGTTTTTAACTTCCTAAGTTAAAGACAAGGAAACTGTATCATATAAAAGGAGAAATGATAGATTTTGAAACTACAAACTATGAGTTGATGCAACACACACATTAAATGTATGATCTTTGGTAAATTGTTTACAGTCTTATGTATCAGTATCGTTGCTGACAAAAATTAGTTAACTTTACTTCTAGGACTATGTTTAGGTTTAATTGAGATAAAATATTTAAAATGTTTACGGCAGTGCCTAGATCATATCATACCTTTAAAAATACTAGTTTCCTTTTTTTTTTCTTTCCTACAAATACTTTCTGATCACTTCATTAGGCTTTCTGTTCGGTAATCCATTTTACATTGGAACACGAGGTCATGTAAACAGTGCCTGTCTCTGAGTAGACGCTTAATAAATATAATGCTTTATTGAATAGAATGAGATTTTTTGCCCTAAAGGATCCTATAGTGTAATGAAAACAAACATGTGTGCACATAAAAATATGCTCTGCAAATGAATAAGAAAAGAGAGCGGTAAGATATCAGCATATATACAAGCTGACTCTCAATTGCCACCATGATGATAAAGCCCTCAAAAAAGAGATGGGGCCAAGGCTAAGAGAAGTGGGGAGCATCTGAACACAGATCCAAGATGGGAAAGAAAATTCTAGCCTTGGGGAATTTCTTAAGCAAAGCAGCAGGGAGCAGCAGTAAGCAAGAACATATTTTGATGAGTTGAAAAAAGAAACTGATTAGAGAGGAAGATGCATAGAATGGAGAGTAGGAGTGTAGGTTGGTTAGGGGATGGCCTCACATGCTCAAACAGACTTTATTCTAAACCACAGGGCACTATTTAAGGCCTTGAAATATTAAATAACTGATAGAATAAGTGTGTCGGAAGAGTCAGTCTTGGGCAGAACTAATTGGGCTAAACTCCTAATGTATATGTGTTTTTTTGAGAAAATCCTGGCTTTAGCTGAAATTATTTTGAATGTTTTCTTAAGATATGTTTACATTAGGAATGCGTTTTTTCTTAGTAACATACACTCAGTAGAAAGAGTCCAGCATTTGAGATTATTGGTTAACTTTGAATTTCTCAATAGTATTTTTTTTCTAGCAGCTAATGCTAAGGAGCTCATGGTGCAAACAAATGAATGGAGTTTGGGAGGAAAGGGAGAGGCTAGGACTTTGAATGCTATTCTTCTTCCCCATGAACCCTAGGATTTTCTGGATATTGGAAAACTGAGGGAGATTTAGAAAAGAATCTTGGCATTAAACAGATATTAACTTGAATTCTGATTCTATCCTTTCTTGGCAGTGCTATCTTATGGTAGCTACTTACCTTCTCTGAATGTCAGTTTCCTCATTGGTAAATAGAAGTAATTAAGCCTACTTCTCAGGATTATTAAATTAAATTGTTTGGCATATAATAGATGCTCAATGGAATTATTTGATTTCCTTTGTTTGCAAATCATGGTAGCAAGGGGAAAGATCAGGTGTAGATTATGCCCATATGATTGGCAAATTGTCATGATGACAATTAGTCATTACCTATAATTATTTTTTAAAAAATCTTTGACAAAGAAGAATGCAATTGTATGGGTCAAGGGAAAGCCCTGGTCACTTTCAACTTTTTCCTTGGATTCATCACACACTGAACTGTCTCTGTTCCCAATAACTTCTCTAGTTCTCTTACTCTTGGCAATGGCTCAGCCCATGATACATTCATATATTTTTAAATACAAGATGTATGGTGTGAAGTAGCCGTTTCTCACCGTCTCCTTGATTTTGGGAGTAAGTTCAGGCTCATCATTTTCCAGCTGAGCACCCCGAGGTGCATGATGGTCTTTGTCATTATCACATGAGGAGATGGGGTGCTCAGCCCACTGAGCTGTAAGCCCAAGGCATTTTATACGGACGGAAATTTTTATGTTAACTGTTTTTATGAAAAAATGAATTTCAGTACCCAAATAGTGAAGTCCTCAATGTTAAAAGTTAAATAATATTATTGTCATTACCCAGACTCTACCATCCTCCAAATCAGAGCAACAATTCTCCAGTTTACAAACTCCATGTGGAAATAACATACTGCTGCCTACAGTATGAGTGGGGCTCTAAAGACATTTGGTGTTCTGATTACTTATTGTATGGAATCAAATTTAATTAGAATGTGGGTCACTCACACAAATGAATCATGACATTAATGATCTCAATTTTTAGAAACCAAGTTGGTTTTTGAATGAGTCATAGTGAACAAGTACGTGCAGTTATTTCCAGAAATCTCACTGTTTCCTATTACTCCCAGGCAGCCCTGAAGTAACCCTGGCCGTGGAGAGGAAACTTCATTAGGTCTGATAGAGAAGAGCTGCTTCTCTCCAAATGCGCAGAGTATTTTGCAGCCTTTGAACACTAGGTGGCGAAAGTGCTCTTGTTAAGATTTGCTGAGCGGTCCAGGACAGTGATTTTTTCAATCTTTTTCTTCTCATGGCACACTAATTACTAAAATTGTGCCGCACAACAACAAAAAAAAAAAAATGTATTTTTGTCAATCTTGAAAAAAAATAAGCTATAATTTTGATATATGCACACCAGACGGCTATTGTTATCGTGTTGGCTGTTAGTTTTTATTTAACAATCTAAGGTAAAAGAGGTCAGTCCCCTGACTAGTCAGGTATTGCATGTTTTAAACATTCTTGTGGCACACCAGTTGAAAATTGCTGGTCTTGGGGATCACCTTTATTCTGACAACAATGATGAGCTACTTTGATTAAATAGTCACCATACATTTGAAGCCCGCACAGGATGTTCTGATTGAAAGAGACATGTACTTTGCAATCCACAGGGAATTTGTGTTTACAATATCAATGGCTTGGCCAGGGATGCTTTTTATGTGGTCTGTCTATTCATTTCAGTAATGCAATTTCGTTATCTAGGGCTTTTGCTGCTCGTTCATCAAAGGCAAGGAAGGATTCAGAGAAAAATAAAATCTGGATGTAAACCCTGACAAAACATCATGTTTGCTACTGAGAATCTCTGCTTACACATTGTGATATACAAGAAAAGACTGATAGAAAAAACAACAACAATTAACTTTAATTACAGACTGGACCTCGGTAATGATCTGATAACTAGAATCTACTTCCCATGGTACTCAGCTCTGACTGTGTTTCAATATCTGCATTCCTTCTGACAAATGCATGTTTCTGGACACTACCCCAGCCACCAGTCAGAATCCAGGGAAAATGTATGTTTGAAAGCTGTACAGATAATTCTGAAGTGCAGACTTTCACTTTTGAGTAACATTTGTAACTCTGGAATAAAAACCAGCCCAAAGTGTGCTAACTACACACCATGCCAGACCTCCTGGGCACTCAAAGGACCCAGCCTCACGGTAAACGGGAACATTTCCTCAGTCAGTGGTCATTCCTTGTGTCAGAGACTCCATTTGAAAGAGTGAAATAGAATAAAAGTCATTAACGAACTTTTGTTTTATAGATGCAAATAGTTTAGTAGTTTTTTAGGTCATTTTTTTTTTCTTTATTGATTTTAGAGAAGAAGGGAGAGGAAGAGAGAGATAGAAACATAGATGAGAGAGAACACTGATTGGCCGCCTCCTGCATGCCTCCCACTGGGGATCAGGCCCACAACCTGGGCATGTGCCCTGACCGGGAATCGAACTGGTGACCTCTTGGTGCATGGGTCGATGCTCAACCACTGAGCCACAATGGTTGGGCAGTTCAGTCTATTTTAAAAAGCAATCAGTAAAGTGCTGACTTAAGCACTGGGTTTACCTGGGTTGAGAAAGGTTTTAGGTCTTGAAGCCTCTTGCTGAGTACTGGCCTGAATATGATGTGGCTTTTCAGTCACTAGTCATCCTGAGGGCAACATGGGAAAGGGGATTAGTTATCAGGAATCGTAGGCTCCCCAAACCTGCCTTGGTCTGTTTCTGAACTTTACCTCGGGCTGGCTAAGCTCTCTGCTTAGTACCCAGGAGTCAATTACAAAGATGTATTTCTCCTTGGTGCGGGAATGCAGAAGATGAATGAAATGCTCTCGATGGTGCGTCTACTCCCTAGGCAGTCATGGAGGAAAAAGTCATGCCCGCTCGTGCTGAACACTCACTTTTCTCTGAGAAGGAATCTCGGATTTTTATGGAGCTGCTGCTGAAACATTGCCATGGAAGGTTAAGAAGTGAAAAGTATTATCAATCAGCCAAATGCGTGTGAACCCAATCTGCCTGATTTTACTTTTCTCTTTGAATTGATTTATTTGAGTGATATGTAGGTACAGTTTACATTGCTACTTGATTTAAGTCAATTGTGTGTAACAACTAGTCACTTCGGAGAAAAGGAATCAATTGAACTTGTACTTTTGATAACATGAAGTACCCAAAACTCCTCTGAGTCACTTAGCTTTTGCCTTTTAAGTACATGGGATGGCAAGGTAGCTCCAGCTGGCCTCAGTTATCAAAAAATATCCAGAGAAACAACATTTTCCGTTCTGGGGGAAAACATCTTACTTATTAACTCTGCATTAGCCAGCCACGCTTCTGGCTTCTTATTAAATTTGACCAGCCTTTTTCCCTCGATGTTTTTTAGTAACACACTGGTTATTATAACCCCAAGGAAAGTAAACACTGAATTCAAGAAATGCAATAAACATCTATGCCAGTGACACTTTGTATTCTCTGTTTAGTTAGTGTCATAAATACGTGCCTCAGAAGCAGCCCTGCACCACTTTCCTATGTTCATGGTCATCTCGATCCAGTTCAGGTCTAATGCGTAGATTTCAGAAACAATAAAAAGCATCAGATCAACAGAAAAACTCTGCCTCACCCTGAAGGGTATTGATGAACCTTTCGGTTGTGCTGATGACTACTGTGCTGGAGTAGGACTGCAGTGACCAAGCCGCCTTGTTCACCGATACTCTGATTCTGAACTTCTGCTGAACCATAAAGAAACATACATTTCCCAAACTCCAATTTCCTATTGCAGGCATTATGGAGATTGCAGTGATTTCTCAGGGGGACCTGTCATAAATATTTCATTGGAAGTTAGTCAAACATTTATAGCTTTAGCTCAGAGTTGAAGTTGCTGGCCACATGTACATATATTTGCCGTTAGTGTTGAATAACGCTCTCCCCCAGTCTTGGGAAACCGTTCTGCATTCCTTGCTTATTCTCATTGAATGAGAACATCACAAAAAGCCTTATTACATTGTATGGAAGTAGCAATGTGTTGCTTCTGAAAACTGGCTTGCACGTTTATCTGGAAGTCTGCTATTTTTTGGTGGTAGTTACTAAAAATTTACAATCCTTAGATCCTTATCTATTTATCATTTAGTCAATAGCTTGTTCGTAGTAAACACAAAGATTCACTTTATTCAAGTACATAACAAATTTCAATCTCTTTCTTATTAAGTACCCAGTTATAGATGAATAAGATAATGTAAACATTTCTTATATGCTAATGATCAATCATATAAGAGTTTTTTTTTTTTTTGCTTTAGGCCATCATATTAAAAATTTATTTTTTAATAAAACCCACTTACATAGACTGCCTGACTCTGTAACACCACATGAAGAATGGACATAATTCTCTGGCTTTGCCTGTTAAGTGTGAATGTTTTATCTGGGGTGTCGGTAAATCAACTTGTTAAATTGGTATTTAAAATGTCATTGCACTGCATGAACTCTGGGCAAAGGTCGGCTAAATCATGCATTATCATGTCATTGAATCACTACTTTGCCTGATTTGAACTGTCGTAATCGGACCATCAGACACTTTGGAACAATAGAAAAACACAAACATCGTCAGGCTCACAAGTGGGAAAGGTGATTCTATATAATGAAGAGCTGTCTCCATCCTTTGATCATCCTTAAATCACAGCACTGCATGCACTTAGAACTAGTTTGTGTTTTGTTTTTGTAGTAAAGCAACATCAAAACAAGATAAAAAGCTTCATGTCCTTTTCCTCGTCTTATACACTTCAGGCAGCAGCTGCACGTTTCTGTCTCAACATGGACCTCCACATGGGTCTTGGTTAGCCTGCATGTTTCTGGTTTGCCAAGTTTTCGTTGCTTTAATTATCGGTAATTCTCAACAATTAACATTCAGATATTTTTAATAACATCCATGTTTCTGACTTCTGTCAAATAATGGAAGATCTGGCAACACTGGCCCTGTAGTTCTACAGACAACAATTATTTGGAATTAAATAGCAGCTGCCACACTGAGACAGAGAAACAGTTCTCCAGTCGGCCACATTCTCCTCCCTCGGCTAATTTCTCTCTAATGAGATTAAGTGTTAGTTAAAATTTAGCATCATGCTTGCAGTTGCTTTTCTTACGGAAGGCCCAGAAGGAAAACAAACATTGCTCCTAGAAATCGCTCATCGGAAGTGGGAGAATAAAAGCCAGAGTGAGAGGGTTATATGTTTTTAGAAAAGGTCACGGGATTTTCTTTTGAAATCTGTTTTTCCAGGTTCCTTTCTTCTGCTTGTCCATGAGGCAGAAACGGCCATGGTTCGAAAGCAACCCCTGGCCACTGTGCTCCTTGCGTGAAAGCTTCCTCCTCCCACGTGTAGTTTCTGTGCCCCCGACGCCCCGTGAACTATTGGGACAGGCGACTCTTCCCCACCAGAGGAAGTACTGATGAGAACTGTCAGGCCTCTCCCAGCATGCTTAGCTTTTCTTGCCTTCAATTTTTATTTTTATTTTGACAATCTGTGATTATTCTCCTCGTTGCAGAACTATTAGCACTATGATTGTTTCTCAAGTTACAGAGCTAATAGAAAATTTAGCGATTCTTTCTTTTTCACCACTGCAATGTTTCATGATTTTTTTAAACCTGTCATTCTCGTATGTCAAGAAACCACGTCATGACCATATAGATCCTGGAATCAATCAGACTTTGTCTTCCGGTTCAAATGTTGCCGAGGACCCGAGTTCAGGGAAGGGGCATGGGTATAATTGTAATCAGAGACAAATGCTATTTCTATACTTTGTGAGAATAATAATTGCCGCAGGAGGGTGAGATTAGGATACTATTTGGAAAAAAATATATACAGTTAAGGTATTCTAAGTTTCTAAAGGGAAGATATATTGTCAGAGTAAAGTGATGGACAAAAGAGCATTTTTTTTCTTATGCTGTAGCCCCAAACACAAAGTAGAACTTGACTGCACACAGAGAAAGCATCTGCCTACTCCAAGAGCAGGTTTCAAGGTCTCTCACCAATGCAGGATATATGACATCCTTCCCCTCGAACCCACCCCCGAGTCTCATGCCTTCGACTTTATTGGCAGGGGTCAGAGACAACTAGAAGCAGCAGCAGCAGCAGCAGAAACTCTCAGCCACACCTTTTCCTACCAACTAACAGGAATGAAGTAGGTCTGAAAAGGGAGAGGGCAGCCAAGTAAAAGAGAGATGGCCAGATTTTTAGCCTGTCTCTGCCTGACTTCTCAAGTTTCCTGAAACGGACATTGGAAGTTATAACAGGTATGTGTGTGTGTAATCTTTAACTCTTTTGAAATATCTGAGGACAAGGATCTGATCCACAAACACTCTCCTCCCCCTTAAGGATGAACAGGGTGCAGGCTTTGCAGAACATCAACGTACATGTGCATCATTTCATTACCAATTTTGTTAATTTTACTAATATAAAGTATATACAGTTCTCAATTTATAGATAATAACAGAATGTTCAATACTTTTCATTGTAAATTCCACATTGCCAATTGATTATTGCAGAAAGCTTGCAGCAATTTTTGCCAAACTCATTTATCTGCAGCCAAACCATGCTTGCAACTGATAAGTAAACATAGCTCTGATACGAATGTTGATTTATGTTTTCATTTGCATTAATGTGTAAGATGAAAATAAAACAATAAGAATGTATGCCAGAATTTTACTGTTTCATCAATGAAACAAGTAACTTTGGTAATCAAAGTATACTTTTTGAATGCCCTGAGACTACGTTGCCAATTTTTTGTGTGCTATTCATAATGTCACAGCTACACATCCAATACATTTTTACCTTTAACCTGCATTATTGACATCTTTTCCATCACTTTCTTTGTTGTAGACAATCAACAAAATGATAAATCAAATTTTGAGTTATTTCATTTGATGATTCCATGCTGTAAATTCTACCTCCAAGGCTGATACCGAGCTGTCAACATAACATCATTGAACATGCAGTTAAGAAGAGAGACACTATTTTACGGCATTTGTACCTAGACATACAATAGAAGTAATTAATCCCAAGAGCGTAAATAATAGTAAGATGTAGTAATCTAATTATTAAGTGATACACTTTACTGTTTATTACCTTAGTTTTTTAATAAAATTAATTCAAAAGTGTTTATATATAATTAAACTTTTAATAATGGTTATATTTATAATTGGCCTTTAAATCAAGTGATCAGCTCCTGGGAGACAGTACGAGCTATTTTCTGCACACTGATGGGCGAGAGCATCCATGACAGCATCATAGGAACCTTGATCCCACTTTCAGGGACCATTGGTTCAGTTCTGGTCTGTGCACTGTTACAGGTGAGAATGGCTGATCAGTTTCTAAATGTTTTCATGAATACTGCTGGATCATGCTGTGGAAGCTTTTAAAAGATGAACTCCAGCCCTGGCCAGTTTGGCTCAGCGGTTAGAGAGTCAGCCTGCGGTCCAGAGAGACTGGGGTTCGGTTCCGGCTAAGGGCGTGTACCTCGGTGTGTCCCCGGCCCTGGTTGTGTCGTGCGGGTGGCAGACACTCGATGTGTCCCTATCACATTGCTGTTTTTCTCTCTCTCTTTTCCTCTCTCTCCCTCCCACTCTATCTGAACAAAAAAAAACAATGAGAAAATGTCCTCGGGTGAGGATAAAAAAAGAAAAAAAAGAACTCCAAAGACACACCATACCCTAAGAAGTCATTCATTTTCTAATTATTTGCCTTTGGAAAATGTTAGCTGGGTTTAATGTGAAGTAAAAGAGTGTTCTTGGGAAGAACTTAGGACCTGGATTTAAATTCACCAGTTACTCTGTTGACCTCTGGGAAGTTATTTGCTGTTCTTGTCTGTATAATTTTAGTGTCACAATTGTGAGCAATAAGTGAAAGTCTGAGTGACAGTGCTCAGCCCAGAGCCTACAGCACACTGAGTACTTGGTCGCTGGTACGTATTTCTCCTCTTGTCCTACTTGCTCAAACCCAGCTCAGTAGGTAGCATCATAATACATGCAACAAAAAATAACAGACAGGCCCTGGCCAGTTTGGCTCAGTGGTTACAGCATCGGCCCACGGACCAGAGGGTCCTGGGTTCGGTTCCTGCTAAGGGCACATCCTTCGGTTGCAATTTGTCCCTGGCCCCAGTTGGGGTCGTGTGGGTGGCAACCACTTGATGTCTCTCTCACATCGATGTTTCTCTCTCTCTCTTCTTCCCTTTCTCCCTCCCACTCTATCTGAAGATAAATGCAAGAATGTCCTCGGGTGAGGATAAAAAAAATAAATAAATAACAGACAGTATGTTAGTAACAACAACAGTGGTTGGCTAATATCTACTAAGCACATGGCTTGGGCTAGGCACTGGCACTGTTCATGTATCATTGAACTTAATCCTCACAGTTACATTATAAGGTAGGTACTATCAATATATCGATTTTACAGGAGGGGAAACTGAGGGAGAATTGTTAAGTAACTAGCTGAAATTCACATGGCAAAAAAAAAAAAAATCTCAGAACAACCCTTCTCTGATTTTGTAGCCCACAATCTTAAAAAATGTTTTTTATAAAGATATGACATAAATACCCTAAATTGGACAATTTATGAAACATGAATTTTGTTTTTATGTCACTCTCTGTTTCAAAATTAAAATTAAAATTATAACAAAATAAATCTCCTATCCCTTTGTTGATGGAAAATTTAAGTCCTGGAATATGTACAAAAGACACTTCTTGTCCCATTTCTTCTTGGTGGGCTCGGTACCAGGCACGAGGCACTGGTCTGGAGTC